AACAGCATGTGCTGTGCTAAGTGTCCGACTCTGCGACCCCACGGGCTGCGGCCCACCAGGCTCCTCTGTCCGTGGGATTCTCCAGGCAAGAACACTGGAGTGGGTTGCTGCAGGCTCCTCCAAGGGCTCTTCCCAACCCAGGGATCAAACTCGCAGCTCTTACATCTAACCTGCATTAGCAGGGGGGTTCTTTACCTCTAGGGCCACCTGGGAAGCCCAACTTGGAGTTGTTCATCTTTAAATGTTTAAATTTTTGTTATGTGACTTTGACCTCAATGTACACATTTGAAATGAGTACAATTTAATTAAAATTATGATATCAGTTCCACCGTCCCACTAGCCCCAATCCAAGTACTCAACAGCAGTAGACTATGACATCACTCAACATGGGGCCAAAGCACTCCCATTCAGAGGCCGGGGCTTTTTAAATCATTTATTTCCCTTTTAACAGGACATGGCTTCCCAGCACTTCCTGAAAGTTTTCAAGGTGAAGTGCCCTAGTTTTCTTTAAGCACCACCTGGCAGCCGCTGAAGTGTCACGTTTCCATTTCACGAGAGCCAGCCACAAATCTGATTGCTACTGTTCCACATGATTAGCACGTTTTGGGTGACATTGTTAGGTTGGTCACACTTCTGAGCATGTTATGATTCTTTAATAGTTTTTCTGAAGGGCGCCAGGCATCCAGAAGCTTGTGGCCTGTACTTCAAGAGACATTAGAAGTTATTCTAGCAGTCTGCAGAAGCTTTCCTCTCCAGGGAGCCGAGGAGAGCAGAGAAGGGAGGTCACAGAGAGGAGGTGCTGGGCTGAGACACACGTGAAAAGAGCAGTTGAAATGAGGAGGGCGCAAAACCCTAGGAAACTCCAGGGAGGATTCACAGGACTCTGAAGGCTCTGATCAGCTCTCCCGGTCCATCCCAAATGAATACCAGCAATTTGCTCTTTTCTCGCAACTCCCCAGAGAGAAAGATCCACAACCACTCTTGTTCTCTCCTTGCACTATATCATACCTCTAAGGTATCAAAAAGTGTTCCTCTAAGTCTTTCGTATCCAAAATGCTCCTATTAGTTTCTCTCTTTTCCTCTTGTAAACCTCCCAGCTAAGACTGGGAGGCCGTTCCCTGAATATCAGGACCCTTTACCTGGAAATATCTCCTTAGCATTTTCTCATTTTTGATGCTTCTATATCCCAATATGATTATTCAGTTTGTAGACTGGACTGTTTATTCTCTCTCCATTTTCCTTGCTCCCCACTGCCTTCCCCCCCCCCCCCGCCTTAATCATGTTGGAGAGAAAAGTAAATAAAGTTTCCACTGGTCAGTTTTTCCTTGGCCAGTCCTGTAGAGGAAATGGATTCAAATTCTACTTTTCTAATGCTGAAGTGATAGCTGTTACCATATATCTATGCCTCTTATTTATTTATAACACAAACAGTGGGTAGTTCCTTTAAACAGCAACAACAACAGTAAAATATAAATCATGGTGACGTATTCAATCCTGTTGCTGACAAAAGTGATGTCTTTTATAGACACCTCAGAAGAAATGACATCCTCCCAAAGAATTGCTGTCCTTTTATCTCTTTTAAGGTTAAACTTGGCTGTATGCAATGTCTCACTTTTAAAAAACTTTTTTTGGCCACACTGTGCTCCAGGAGGGATCTTAGTTCCCTGACCAGAGATTGAGCCTATGCTCCCTGCATTGGAAGCACAGAGTCTTCCAGTGTCCCACTGGATAGCCGGGAAGTCCCTTGCTTGTAAAATTTTGACGGCAATTAACAGAAGTGTCCGGTGGTTAGTGTAAACCAAAGAAGAAAAACTGGATGAGAGAGAAAAGGAAGTTAATGAAAGGATGCTGGAGGTATTTTGTGGCATCAAAGGAAGAGCTGAACAATTGAAATTTATAAAAGGAAGAATCCAAGGGTGAGTCTTGAGAATTCGATAGCAGTTCATGTACTTCTCCAGAGCCCTGCCATGAAAGAGCACACCGCTTGGTTCCACCACTTGGTCTCCTTCTGCTTCCTTGCTTTCTATTTCTGAGTTCAGATTCCTGGGAGAGAGCCCAGGGTGGGTCAGATGACTTTTAAGAGACTTGGTGCAAGCGAAAGATGAAACTAATGTTTAAGAGGGGTGACATTTGATTTGCTCAAATGATATAAAACATGTAAGGTGAATTGTGTTTTCCGAAGATGGCTACGATCGTATCTACCACACACTCTTTTGCAATGTAACCTTGTCACTCCCTCATCAAGAGATGTTCTAATCCCTCCCCTTGAACCTGAGTTGCCTTGATGGCTCACTTGTAACCGATGCGAAAAGACCACACCAGTGACAAAGTGACAACAGTCCTTGTGTCTCACTGTTAGCGTTGACAGACAAAATACAGACACACCGCCAGCTTTGAATTGCAGATACCCAACAAATAATTTTCAGATAAACAATGACTATGCCCAAATGGGACATACTTAGACTAAAAACAGTTGTTTATCAGAAATTCAAAGTTAACTGGGATTATTATGCTCCACTTCTGGCAATCTTATCCAGTTTCTATTCTCCCTTTCTTCCTTTTAGTAACAGTACCCACCCCCAAACCCAGGGGTTTTAGCCCAGCTAGAGATGGTTTCTTTGCCTCCCTTGCACTGGAAGTGGTCAGGTGACTAGTTCTTGTCAGCAGAATGGACTGGAAGTGAAGTAGGCCACTTCAGCAGCTTGCCCACCCAGTTCCTCCCCTTCCGTCCTTCCCACGGGGTCAAATGCTGACGCCGTGCTGGAGATCCAGCCTGCACCGTGTAGACACAGTCCCCGCCCGGCACAGCAGGGCAACGACACAGAAGGAACCGGGGTCCCCTTTCAGCTTCCTGGAGCAGAGCCGCCTAATCTTGGACCAACTCCTACCTGTGGACAAGAGCGTGAGAAAGAAGGAAATGTCTAACTTGATTAGCCCTCTGTATTTTGAGGTCTGTTTGTTTGCTCGAATGTTTATTTATTTATATTTATTTATTGGGCTGCACTGGGCCTTAGTTGCAGCACGTGGGATCTCTAGTTGTGGCTATGCAAAGTCTTAGTTGCAGCATGTGGGATCTAGTTCCCTGACCAGGGATCGAACTCCAGGCCCCCTGCATTGGGAGCATGGAGTCTTAGCCACTGGACCACCAGGGAAGTCCCAGGGTCTGTTTGTTATGGTAACTTATTCATGAAATAATAGAGCTGGGATCACTGCACTAGATCTGAATGGCCTTACAGTTCCTGCCTACAATCTAGGCATTCAGAAACCCAACAAGATCCAGTTTCCACACATGCAGGGAAGCTGAATTGTGTGCTTTTATCTGGGTTCTCATGAGGCAGCCTTTGAGATTTCTGCCTTCCTCATTTCCATTCATATGCTTGTGGTAATAGGAGACTATCTGTTTCTTGACACTAAAAGCCCCTAAAAAATTCTCCCCTTTAATCCTGCACTTTTCGCTTGTATGTGTCCTTTCTGTCTTCCCTGCTGAAAGTGAGTTTCGTGAGGACCAGAATCACTATCTGTCTCTCCACTGCTATTTCCTCAGCACCTTGTGGGGTTCCTGACACATAGCAGGTGCTCTATAGAGGATGGGTGGGAGAAAAACTAGACTGTAGCTTATAGGAAGGAAAGCTTTATAAAGTTTCTGCCCTTAAGTTCTGAATTCCTTTGGCCTTCACCACCTCTGTGTCACGGTGACATTTGAATAGGCCACATTCCCTTTTTTCTTCCAGTTGTGAAGGAAGGTTTCAACGGAAGTGTTAAGTTAGGAAAATATGCCTTTAGGATCTTCCTTTTTGGTGTTTTCTACAGTCTTACAAGAGCTTCCCAGGGGGCTCCGTGGTAAAGAACCCACCTGCCAATGCAGAAGACACAAGAAATGTGGGTTCAAGCCCCACGTCAGGAAGATCCCCTGGAGAAGGAAATGGCAGCCCACTCCAGTATTCTTGCCTGGAGAATGTCATAGACAGAGGAGCCTGGTAGGCTACAGTCCAGTGGGGCCCCAGAGAGCCGGATGTGACTTAGTGACTCAACCATAACAACAATCTTACTGCCTTCCTCCTAAGCACCTAGAGGCCTGATATTATGGACCTTAATCAAAGATTCCTCTCCTTGGTCCTACTTACTTAGCCAGGTTCCTCTAGAAAACAGAAACTGAGACAAGGGTTAAAGTGCTGACACTTTATTTAGGAGGTAAAAGACTGCAGGAGGTGATGTTTTGGAAAAAAAGAGAAAAGAAGTGAGGAAAGATGCAAAGCAAACATGATGCAATTCCATGCTGGCTTACTGATCCCATAATGAGTCATATATGCCTTCTAGTAGCTTCTGGTTTTTCCACCAAAGGGAAAGAAACCATCTGTAAGGGAAATTTCCTACTTGCTGCTTGAACTGTTTCACCTTTTGTTATCCTAACCACCAAGGTTAGTTAATCACAAACAGGACTTTGAGACACAGCCTCTGTGATGAAAGAAAATAAGGTTACGAGGCAGGCAGGGGGCCAGCTCATTACCATGCTGAAGCAGTTGAGGGTGTCTTTGTAAAGATGAGGGTAAAGCAGGGGCCGACCAGGGAGAGGTAGACACTGGGAGGGGAGGTTGAGTGGAGTTTAAAAAAAATTCAGCCAAGAATCTAACAGTACATCATTTTGTTTGCCTGGGTGTTTTAGGCTAAATGATACCTGAGATTTCAAACAGCAAGCATGAAAAGTGCATTCTTTATGGATTTTTGAAAATAACTCAGGCTTCTTAGCTAAGACCTATACATTTGGACGAACACATACATTCAGAGTTTATTTCCTCTATTTTCATTAAAATTAAATCCAATCTGTATGACTCAAGCTGAAAGTTAAAAGTGGCATCAGGTGTCTTTTAGCTTTTCTCACCACCCCCCCCCCC